ATATATATATATATATATATATATATATATTAATCCTAGAACAAAGAGATTCATAAATAACTAATTAAAAGGCTTTAAGTTAAAGCCAAATACTCAAAACATAATCTAGACGTACATTCTCGAGAATCTTTTATAAAGGCCTTATGTCAAAAGTCTAAATGATTGCTAGCACTGTAGTCAAATTCAATAGCAATTACTGAAGCACAAGAAGCCTAAATATGCACCTTCTGAATTAAATTAAAAACCAAAAAGGGCTGGGTGCAATGGCTCATGTCTGTAATCTCAGCACTTTGGGAGGCTGAGGTGGAAAGACTACTTGAGTCCAGGGGTTTGTAACCTGCCTGGGCAATAAAGCAAGACCCTTATTGCTACAAAAATAAAATAAATTAGCTGGGTGTAGTGGTGCAAGCCTGTGATCCTAGCTACTCAGGAGACTGAGGCAAGAAGATCACTTGTGCCCAAGAGTTTGAGATTACAGGGAGCCAAGATCCCATCACTATACCCAGCCTGGGTGGAGGAGTGAGACCCTGTCACTAAAATAAAAGGGAAAAAAATGGGGAGGGATACATACACACATACACACTTTTATATGTATTCTGCATGTATTTGCTTTTTTTTTTTTTTTAATAAAAGAAAAGACTCAAAAAATTGGTTAATGTTATCTACAGGGAGAATAAGAGGAAACAAAAGAGTCTAGACTTGTTTTGTTGTTGAGATAGGGTCTTACTCTGTCACCCAGGCTGCAGTACAGTGCCACAATCACAGCTCACTGCAGCCTCAACCCCCAGGCTCAGGTGATCCTCCTGCCTCAGCCTCCCAAGTAGCTGGGACTATAAGTGAATGCCACTGTCCAGCTAATTTTTGTATTTTCTGTAGGGATGGGGTTTCACCATGTTGCTCGTGCTGGGCTCAAGCAATCCATCCATCTCAGCCTCTCAAAGTGCTGGGTAGACTTCTTTTAATATGTCTTGTTTTAAAGATATAACTTCAGAATTATGTAAACATTTTAAATAATTGTAAATAACATTTATTTTTTAAAGAATATCAATTCCTTCACGCCTGTAATCCCAACATTTTGGGAGGCCGAGGCGGGTGGATCATGAGGACAAGAGATCGAGACCATCCTGGTCAACATGGTGAAACCCCATCTCTACTAAAAATACAAAAAATCAGCTGGACATGGTGGCGCGTGCCTGTAATCCCAGCTATGCAGGAGGCTGAGGCAGGAGAATTGCCTGAACCCAGGAGGCAGAGGTTGCGGTGAGCCGAGATCGTGCCATTGCACTCCAGCCTGGGTAACAAGAGCAAAACTCCGTCTCAAAAAAAAAAAAAAAAAAAAAAAAGAATATCAATTCTTAAAACTAAAAACTAAAAACTGAAAATATTAAAGTAACACATATCCAGCCCAGTAGCACAACTGCATGGAGAAAGACTATTCCAAGTAACTCTAAAACACAGTAATTTGATTATACATTCCTACAGAGATATGCCCTAAGGACAAAAACAGTAACAAAAATTCTCAGCCAGGCACAGTGTCTCATGCCTGTAATCCCAGCACTTTGGGAGGCCAAGGCGGGAGGATCTCCTGAGGTCTGAAGTTCAAGACCAGCCTGGCCAACAGTAGAGATGGCCAACCCCATCTCTACTAAAAACACAAAAATTAGCTGGGCATGGTGGACAGACAGGGTCTCATTCTGTTGCCCCAGGTTGGAGGGCAATGGCATGAGACCTGACCATGGCTCACTGCAGCCTCAACCTCCTGGGCTTAAATGATCCTCCCACCTCAGCCTCCCAAGTAGCTGGGACTACAGGCATGAGGCACCATGCCTAATTAATTTTATTTTTTGTAGACATAGGATCTCACTATGTTGTCAGGGCTGATCATGAACACCTGGACTCAAGCAATCCTCCCACCTCAGCCTCCCAAATTGCTAGGATCACAGGCGTGAGCCAGCACTCTCAGCTCTATATAATCTCTACTACTTCTGAACGTTTGAAATTTTCCAGATGAAAAAAAATTAAAATAATGAAAATCTAAGAGCCGTCATTCTGCCGTCATTATTAGGCTTCCACAATCATTCCAAAGCATGAAAAATCTTTCCATACCATTATTTTTATCAGAGCGCTGGGGGTGGCTATTGACAGGATTGGGTTCGCCATGTGTTGCCCAACGGGTATGAGCTATTCCAAGGTGTACATCAAATTCTATATCCAAATCCATATCCTGTTGCTCTGAAGAAGAGGAAATGAAAAATTTCAGTATTAAATCATGCTGCAGAGATAATGCTATAAGCTATATTTAAATATAATTATTACAATGCTGCTCACTTGGAATATATAATCATTGAAACTGAAGATCAGGCATATTCAAAATAGTGATTAAAAGACTTAGGAGGCCAGGCACGGTGGCTCACACCTGTAATCCCAGCACTATGGAAGGCCGAGGCAAGCAGATAACCAGAGGAAGGAGTTCGAGACCAGCCTGGCCAACATGGGGAAACCCCATCTCTACTACCATCACAAAAATTCGCCAGGTATGGTGGTACATGCCTGTAGTCCCGGCTACTCCGGAGGCTAAAGCAGGAAAATTGCTTGAACTCAGGAGGCCGAGGTTACAGTGAGCTACAATCATGCCACTGAACTCCGGTCTGGGCGACTTAGGAATGCATCATATGCCTGTATCAAAACATCTCATTCGTCCAGTAAATATATACATCTACTATCTACCCACAAAAATTAAAAATAAAGATAAAGACTTAAGAGTTTATGCAACTCAAATATTGAGGGCAAATGGTTTCAATAACAAAAAAACAACTAATATAAAGTTAAAGCAAGCATGACAAAATGTTAATAACTGATAAAGTTTGGTGAAGTATATATAGGTAATAATGGACTATTCTTTCAAATTTCCTACATATATGAAAACTCAAAAGTTAAGGATAAAAATAATTATTGTAATTTTTAAAATCTGTATTTAATTCTTATCTTAAAAAATCCTTATCAATTTAATTAAACATGTAAAAATAAATTCATTTTCCCAATGACACACAACCTTATGACTGCAATTTCTTTGGTCTCTGGTGAATGTACACACGTCTCAATATAAACTACAATTATAGAGTGCCTCTAAATCAAACAGGTATTTGAGAATAGAGCAATGCTATGAGAGTATAGGGCTACTGGGAAATCGGCATAGGCCGATGTTTCTTTATTGTGAAAAATAACTTATTTTTCATATAAACTCTCTTTTCTTGCTGCATCTTAAAAAAAATGGACAGCTCCAGTTATTAACTAGTAATGTCCTTCTTTTAATTTCCTAAATACAAAATTCATTTGGCTAAGAACACAGATAACAAAGTTTATTAGAATTAGGTCTAAATCAAGAGCAAACTGGCTGGGCATCATGTCTCATGCCTATAATCCTAGCACTTTGGGAGGCCAAGGCGGGTAGATCACTTGAGGTTGGGAGTTCAAGACCAGCCTGGCCAACATGGTGAAACCCTGTCTCTACTAAAAATATAAAAATTAGCCAGGCGTGGTGGCACATGCCTGTAATCCTAGCTACTCGGGAGGCTGAGGTAAGAGAATCACTTGAACCTGAGAAGGAAGGTTGCAGTGAGCCAAGATCACGCCACTGCCCTCCAGCCTGGGTGAAAGAGCAAGACTCCATCTCAAAAGAAAATAAATAAATAAATAAATAAATAAATAAATAAAACAGTATATTCTGTTGTACTATTATATTTATGACATGTTGTCAACCTAGCTTCCACTAGAATTTGAATTCTACAAAAACAGCAGCCTACCTTATTATTTTGAATCCTAAGGACTAAAAGGTATACACTACAGATAAATTTTTGTTGGATGGCTCAATCTACCACTGAATAAAATCATGCACCTATTCTTTCCTTGTTTAACTGTGTTCTGAATAATTAAGGCAACCTGATAAATGACATCAAGAAAAGGATTACTGGTTTTTTTTTCTTTTTCTTTTTCTTTTTTTATGAGACGGAGTTTCACTCTTTTTGCCCAGGCTGGAGTGAACTGGCACAGTCTTGGTGCACTGCAACCTCCACCTCCCGTGTTCAAGCAATTCTCCTGCCTCAGCCTCCCAAGTAGCTGGGATTACAGGCGCCCACCAAAGGATTACTGTTTACCATTACTCAACAGGATAATGCAAGAAATGAAAACATTTCTTTGACTACTTTTTTAAGCTAACTATAATTAAAGCAGTATCTCCCAGCACATGCTGGCAAGCAATATTGGAGAAAGTCACAAGATTCTGTATATTGAATCCATTTCAAATTCATGGTAATTACCATACCTTTATTTCACTGTTGCCATAGGAACATTACCTAATATCTAGTAAGTAAAAAATTATGACCTGATTATTACCAAATAGTAAGAAAAATAACCATTAAACTGATAGTTCAATCCAGTTCCCTGACAGCTCATAACTTTACTATTCTAAGGCTCAATACCTGTAGTCCCTCAATTCCACTTTACTCAGCTTTTATCGTTTTACTTGGTAATTGTCTGCTTTGTTTAGTTTGTCTTGAACTCCCGACCTCAGGTGATCCGCCACCTTGGCCTCCAAAGTGCTTGGATTACAGGCTTGAGCCACTATGCCTGGCCCTGCTTTGTTTAGTTTGTATTTTACCTTTGATTCCCAGAGTACACTCTTTCCTTTAAAGGCTAACTCCTTGCCTGTGCCTTAGTGTTCTTGAACTGCAGTGCTTCAATAATTTCCTCATTTGCATCTTCTATCTTACCCTACCTCTACTCCACGGCTCCTTGCCCTCTGCCTGCCTTTTCTCAGATGTCATCTTCCCCTTTTTAAAAAAATACTTCAAACATATTTAAATTTGCTGGGAATAATAAACATCCAAATGCCCACACTCAGAGTTAACAAAACATCTAGTCATTTGTGCTTTACATATTTTTTTAAGATCTAAAATGTAAAAAAATTAATGCTGTATAGGGAAACTTGAAATAAACGTAAAAAATGCAGTTGATACCTCCTTTATATCCCCATCCCATTCATTTCCTCCCCAGAGAATTCTCAAGTTGAAACAGTCTTACTACTCATCCCTTTTAAACTATGATTATGTTAACATGAGACAAGAAATGATAGTACTGTTTTGTGTTTTTAAATGTCCTATACTTTACATGCCAGGAATTATCCATGTTCCTATATGCAGAACCAGATTCAGTACACTCCTTTCAATGGCTACATATGGTCATTCACTATCATACACAACTTTTTTTTTTCCAAGTAGCTTGGACTACAGGCACACGCTACCATGCCTGGCTAACTTTTTGTATTTTGGTAGGGATGCGTTTCACCATGTTGCCCAGGCTGGTCTCAAACTCATGATCTCAGGCAATCTACCTGCCTCGGCCTCCCAAAGGGCTAGGATTACAGGCATGAGCCACCACGCCCAGCATATACAACTTATTATATCATCCCATTCCCTTATTTATAGACATTTAGGCTATTTCTAAATTTTGCAACAATTAATCTTGTTGTCATGTCACCTTATTCATTGTGTTTCCTTCAAGTATCTATCCAAGAGTGAAAGTGCTTGGTCTCAGGGTATAGGCATTTCCCATGTAGATATTGCCAGACTGCTCTTTAAAATGATTTACCAGTTACCAATTCACCAGCAATATCTGCAAGTTTCCATCTATAGACAGTAAATTCAGTCAATACTTACTTTGCATGTTATTGTAGGGTAGGATTAGCTAGGGGTTGGCCAGTTGCGGTGGCTCAGGCCTACAATCTTAGCGCTTTGGGAAGCCGAGGAAGGTGGATTACCTGAGGTCAGGAGTTCAAGACCAGCCTGGCCAACACGGCGAAACCCCATCTCTACTGAAAATACAAAAATTAGCCCAGTGTGGTGGCACATGCCTGTAAGCCCAGCTACTTAGGAGGCTGAGGCAGGAGAATTGCTTAAACCAGGAGGCAGAGGCTGCAGTGAGCCAAGATCTGTCACTGCACTCCAGCCTGAGTGACAGAGCAAGATTACTTCTTTAAAAAAAAAAAAAAAAAAAATGATTAGGAGTAAAGCAGATACCCAATAACTACACTTGAAAAATAAACCAGTTGGCCAGGTACAGTGGCTCACACCTGTAATCCCAGTACTCTGGGAGGCCAAGGCGGGTAGATCACTTGAGGTCAGGAGTTCAAGACCAGCCTGGCCAATATGGTGAAACCCCATCTCTACCAAAAATACAAAAATTCACCAGGCATGGTGGCATGCACCTGTAATTCCAGCTACTCAGGAGGCTGAGATAGAAGAGTCACTTGAACCCAGGAGGCAGAGGTTGCAGTGAGCCAAGATGGCGCCATTGCACTCCAGCCTGGGCACTGCAGCAAGACTCCATCTCAAATTAAAAAAAACAAAAACAAAAAGAGTTTACTGCTGAAGAGGCATGTTTCAATATGTTGACATTCAAAAATGGTGATTCTGGCGACATCTGCCTTTCTAGCCTCCCATATTTGTCCATCAATAATGGAAATAAAAAGGACTACCACCATTCCATCAACAAACCTGCCATCCCTATTCTTATCTTTAGCTATGCTATTCTACTCAGAAGGTCCTCCCTTCACATATTCACTGACCAAATATAATCAGCAGTCATTCTCTATGTATTCCCAGTCTTGTCAACTTGTGGGAACTCTCCCCTGAATCTCACAGCAATGTCTGTTCTCTCCTACAGAACCCACTGTAATCAGCCGGGTATACAGGATACAGAACACACAGTAGATATTTATACTATTGTTTTTGAAGTGTAGTTATTTGGGTGTCTGCTTTACCCTAGCTAATCTTACACTACAATACAGGCAAAATAAGTATTGATTTAATTTGTTAAACAAGTACTACAAAGCTAAATGTATGGCTTATGTGGAAAAAAAAAAATCTATCATTTTCCTCTACCTGTACTCTTTCACAATGATTATGATGGCATTCATTTGAGTAGGTACATAAAATACTTGCTGTTTCCTGGGTTTTGTGGAGAATTTTAAAAATATTTTTTCAATCACTCTACTTCAAAGTTTGCTTTGTTTTCAAGTTTCTTGTGCAAAAATAAAATGTGCAAGCATAATGTTATGATCTAAATACTGAGAAGTAAATCCTCTTTGATGGGGCATACATCTCGGACAACTCCTTATGCCAGAGAAAAAAATTGTGAGGGAAAACATGATACTTAACAGATTATATCAGACCTACTAAAAGGTGCAATGTCCAAATTGACTACATCCAAGTTAGGCATTTAGTCCAAAGCGAAGACAATTAGCAAGTGAAGACACATGTATAAGGGCACCACTAAAAATGCCTTTTGTCCTATGAAAGGCTCTTCCTCAGGAATGGTGGCTCTGAAGCTACTTGATTTAATATTCAAAGCTTGCGCTGAAGGAAATATGCCTAACTAATTTTGTTCCCTAGTTGCAATGATTATTTTTCAGGTTCAGGCACATTTTAAAACTAGTCTAGACGGTAACAAAACTACTTTTCTTCCCTCCCTTTAATGTTAGACCATTATCATTAAAATGGGTCTCAAAATATGAGGGGGGGGTAACTTGGTGGGGAATGGGAAGGGGAAAAGGAAGAGAAGGGGAGGTGGGACAAAAATCAAACTAAGTACATTACTGTGAACTTCTTCATCCAGTGCCTTAACTTTTCCTTTCTTCTTAATAAGCTGGATTTTGCAGGCATTGGCTTCCCAATCTTTGTCATTGCCTCCATCAACTCCCACACCTAAACCATCATAAGTAAAAGAGCAAGACTTAGAAACTGGCTACTGATAAAATCATTGCAAGGCAAAATTTTTAATTAAAAAAATGACTCATCTAAATAACCCACTTATTTATCAATTCAACATCTACTGAAAACCTACTTTGTGTCAAAAACCAGGATAGCTGCTAGAGATAAAAATAAAAAGAACTCAATTCCTGTCCTCAAATTTCTAAGTAAATCAAGAAGACAGACGAGGAAAAAATAAATCAGCATGATTATGAATTATAATAAAAATACTACAGGTTACAATTGGAGTACAATGGAGAAATGCAAAAGATGGGCACCCACCTGAGAAGGTGGCTAAGGAGGGAAGGTCAGGGAACACATCTCTTAAAAGCCTCCTTACGTTGCTAAGGAATTTGAAAAAGCTACCCTAAAGATACTGGGAAAACACTTTGTCCTGTCAGCAGAGAAGTGATTCAGCAAAAATGTTTAGCAAAGTCCTTCTAGAAACAGTGCAAAGAATTAGAGGGAGAGAAATGGAAGGAAGTTCCATTTGCTGTAACTATAAAGTTATAGTTACAGCAAAGCAAAAATGAAGAGCACTTGAACTAAACAGTGGTAATGCAGAAAGAGATAAGTGATATTGAGAAGCGGAATTGAGAATGTAAGTGACAAGGCAGGAGAAGTCTGGAATACCTCAAAGGACTTGTAGAATGGCTCAAAGGACTTGTTGAATGATTCTTAAAAGGGACATAAAAAACAGACTGGGCATGCCTGTAATCCCAGACAATCGGAGGCTGAGGCAGAAGAATGGCTTGAACCCAGGAGGTAGAGGTTGCAGTGAGCTGAGATCACACCATTCATTGTACTCCAGCCTGTGCGAAAGAGCAAGGCTCCATCTCAAAAACAAACAAAAAACAGAGTGGGGAGTGGGGTGGGGACTGCAGTGTATCAGTTTGTTTTTTCTGAGACAGAGTCTCGATCTGTCGCCCAGACTGGAGGGCAGTGGCACGATCTCGGCTCACTGCAACCTCTGCCTCCCGGATTCAGGCAGTTCTCCTGCCTCAGCCTCGCGAGTAACTGCGATTACAGGCGCATGCCACAACGCGTGGCTAATTTTGGTGTTTTTTTTTTTTTTTTTTAGTAGAAACAGGGTTTCACCATGTTGGTCAGGCTGGTCTCAAACTCCTTACCTCAAGTGATCCACCCACCTTGGCCTCCCAAAGTGCTGCGATTACAGGCGTGAGCCACCACACCCGGCCTCAGTTCAATTTTTGAACATGCAAAGTTTAAAATATCATGGTCTATCTAGGAAGAAACTTCTAGGAGGCCTAGAATACAGCTTGGGAGATACAACTTGCTCAGGTAAATACACCTTGCCTAGAAGTCACCAATATGGCCAGGCACAGTGGCTCACGCCTGTAATTCCAACACTTTGGAAGGCCAAGGCAGGCGGATCACCTGAGGTGGAGAGTTCAAGATCAGCCTGACCAACATAAAGAAACCCCATCTCTACTAAAAATACAAAATTAGCCGAGCGTGGTGGCACATGCCAGTAATCCCAGCTACTCGGAAGGCTGAGGTAGGAGACTCGCTTGAACCCAGGAGGCAGAGGATTGCTGTGAGCAAAGATTGCACCATTGCACCCCAGGCTGGGCAACAAAAGTGAAAATCCATCTCAAAAAAAAAAAAAAAAGAAGTCACCAACATACTCACACACAAAATAATTAAAATAAAAAGAAAACAAAGAAACAAAAAAAGAAGTTACCAACATAATAGAAGGCTGATGAAGTCAGAGCTCACACAAGAAGACACAAAATAAAAAAAGTGGGCCTAGAAAAGAATCTTGGTTGGGTGTGGTGGCTCACACCTGTAATCCCAGCACTTTGGGAAGCCAAGGCAGATGGATCACCTGAGGTCAGGAGTTCAAGACCAGCCTGGGCAACATGGTGAAATCTCATCTCTACTAAAAGTACAAAAATTAGCCGGGCATGGTGGCGCGTGCCTGTAATCCCATCTCAACTGGAGAGGCTGAGGCAAGAGAATCACTTAAACCCAGGAGGCAGAGGTGCAGCGGTGAGCCAAGGTTGCGGCGGTAAGCCAAGGTTGCAGTGGTGTACCGAGATCGTGCCAATGCACTCCAGCCTGGGTGACAGAGCAGGACTCATCTCAAAAAAAAAAAAAAAAAAAAGAATCTTGATGAGCATTAATATTTGAGCAGAAGAAAACACTGAGTAGAAGAAAGGAGCCTCCAAAGCAAACAGAAAAGTAATCAGCGTCTTAGGAAGAGAATGAGAAGATGTGTTGCCAAAGAAGCTAAAGAAGGAAAGAACTTTAAAAACAAAGGAGTAGAGGAACTGACTTTCCATTACTAAGGAAAGTCAAGGAAGATAAATGCCCTTTCCACGTGGCAATGTTAAGTGTACAAAAAAAGAGTAACACCGAAGGTGTGAAACTGCTATCCTTAGAAAGGCTTGTTTTCAAGGTTGGTCCTTCATTAGTGTCTAGAAACTTGGTTTTTGGAAGGATTTCTATCACCCTAACTAAGAGGGGCTCATTATGCAAACTGTGCAAACAATGTGGTTTATGCTGAACATCTGCTTTTCTTCTGAGAGTCTAGAATTTTGGTACATGCTAGGCAGAGGGTGTCTATGTGACCGGCCCCCAGTGAAAACCCTGGGCACTAATTCACTAGCAAGCAACTTCTGCCTAGCTTTCTCAAGACTTCACACAAAGCACCTTCATTGTGCTTTGTATTCTTTTGCTATAATGAAACATAGCCATGAGTATAACAAAATGCTGGGTGGGCACCGTAGCTCACGCCTGTAATCCCAGCACTTTGGGAGGCTGATGGGGGCAGATCACGAGGTCAAGAGATCGGGACCATCCTGGGCAACATGGTAAAACCCTGCCTCTACTAAAAAATAAAAGAAAAATTAGCTGGGTGTGGTGGCGTGCGCCTGTAGTCCCAGCTACTCGGGAGGCTGAGGCAGGAGAATTGCTTGAACCCAGGAGGTAGAGGCTGCAGTGAACCGAGATTGTGCCACTGCACCCAGCCTGGTGCCTGGCAACAGAGCAAGGCTGTTTCAAAAAAAAAAAAAATTAAAAACAAAATGCTGAGTCCTGTGAGTCGTCCTGGGGAATCAACGAATCTAAGGATGGTCTTAGGAATCTCTGACACAGTTGAGGAAGGAGCTAGGGTAGAATATAAAGTTGCCAGAAAGCTATGTTTATGTGTCATTTATTTAAAATAAAAGAGGCTGGAATCAGTGGCTTTCCTGTAATCCCAGCACTTTGAGAGGCCAAGGCAGGAGGATCACTTGAGGCCAGGAGTTTGAGACCAGCCTGGGCAACATAGTGAGACTCTCGTCTCTACAAAAACTTTTTAAATATTAGCTGGGGATGGAGCTGCACAGCTATGGTCCTAGCTACTCAGGACTGGGGAGGGAGGATTGCTTGAGCTCAGAAGTTTGAGACTGCAGTGAGCTATGACTGCACCACTATACTCCAGCTTGGGTGACATAGTGAGATTCTGTCTCAAAAATAAATAAGAAAAATGAATCTGAGGCACGTGTATATGTCAAAGCATGAAATCAGTGAAGAAAAATTAAAGTTATAGGAAAGAAAAAAGAATTTAGAGAGTAAGCCCTTCATGAATTTTGTTTTATCATAATAATGCCCCATATGATGGTTTTATAGTAGTATTCTTAATAGAGGGTCACTGTAAGAAGCAATACTCCACATAAATGGTAACACTGTTGAGATTACATGAATAAATCCTTTAAACATGATAAAAGACAAAAATTCTTCAGATTTACGCTTATTCAAAACAAAAGAGACTTTAATAAGAATCTAGTCTCCTAATAATAGGAGAATCTAGTCTCCTAATAAGAATCTAGTCTCCTAATAATAATTTCCTAAAAAAAAAAAACTCTGCTTAAAGAATCATGCAAAATCCATAGTAATTTTTTAAAAGGAAGTACCAGCAGAATCATATCCTCTGTACTCCAGTCTCTGAAGGCCTTTGATTAGGGTCTCCAAGATTTCTCGTCTTGTTCGAGGAACGTGGTAGTTTAAGTAAGCAAATATACCTGCAAGTAAACAAATATTTAATGAAAATTTCTGATTTAAAAATCAAAATTAGCATAATTATGTCAAGTATGTGAAAAAATGTAAAGTTAGATTCCATCTTTCAAACAACACTTCAAACCATTTAAAGGCAATGGAACTTTTTCAAGGAGGAATTTCTCATAAGTATAAAAAACTAAACATGTCAAAATACATGTTTATAATTTTTTCAAAGACGCTTATAAAGCTGGCTACTTATTTTCCATGACTGGCTTTCTGTCAAGTGAAATTTAATGTTTTTAAAAAACCAATTTGCAAATTCATGGTTTATGTCCTATATACGAAGCATCTGGTTTCAAGAAAAAAAATTCTGAAGTATTTTAAGCAACTTATAGGCCCTAAAATCTATACTAATGAGATTAATTTTGCTTACTTCCAATAATAGATTATGTGAATAATGCAACTTAAATAATTTTATAAAATAGTAAAAACTGACCAAATTTATAACTATCTTAAAAGATAGCTTTGAATCAGTTGTTCATCAAATATTACCAAAAGACAACCACATGTTAATAACTCTTGAAAATTCATAGAAAAAGAACAATCATTTGGAAAAATAAAACTAGAAATAAAAGGATTAATACAATGTGAACTGAACTAGAAAAGCAAAGAAATAACAGAACACAGGTAAGGGAAATCCACACTTTTAGCAATTGCAGCATGGACAGTATCTGAGGTTTTCCATGGCTGAGCTTTGGCCAGAGCAGCTACAATGTATCAAAACTGAAGACTAAAATATACAAAAATACAAGTTCAAGCTGCTTATTTTAAAACTTCCCTTTTTCTTAACTTTCCTTTCACTGTAATTCTACTGATTCATAAGAAGTTTAAATTAATTCTGTGAGATAGAACTCCCGAATGACTAGTCTTCATTTCCATCTAAGTCTTTACTTCTAGAGTGTGAATGTTTCCTACTGAAACATTTCAGCATACAAAAATGCTGCGTTGTTGATACCCAACAGAAAAGCCATCATAACATATATGCTGATCACCATGATTAACACACTGCAATTTTCTCAAATATATCATCACGCCCTAAAAAAGAGAAACCCACACATTAAAATCCAAAACAATCTGAAACAACGGTTTCAACGCTCCACAAAGAAGTAGTTTCAGGCCAAAGACTTATAGAAATCCTGTATTTCATTTAGATATTTTTTAAAAACCACAGCCAGGAACGGTGGCTCACACCTGTAACCCCAGCACTTTGGGAGGCCAAGGCAGGTGGATCACAAGGTCAGGAGTTAGACATCAACCTGACCAACATGGTAAAACCCCATCACTACTAAAAATACAAAACATTATCTGGGTGTGGTGGCACGCACCTGTAATCACAGCTACTCAGGAGGCTGAGGCAGGAGAATCACTTGAACCAGGGAGACAGAGATTGCAGTGAGCCAAGACTGCACCACTACACTCCAGCCTGCATGACAGAGTGAGACTCCATCTCAAACACACACACACCCCTTAAATTTATATTTTTTAAGCTTTCCTGTAATGGACAGTTATCTTACTTTCACAGTACTAGCACCCCGTAAGGGAGGGTAGAACATCTATCTGACGTAATTCAAAAACAGAAATTGAGTTAACTAATATCCCAGAGATACCCACAAATACCATTCCTAACCTCAAAGCACAGCAATTAAGATAAGGATAAACAACATGCTGCTTAAGGACATTTCTAAGGTAAGAGTGGTAGCGGCACAGCAAAGTGCAGTTTCAAACTTTCAATGGCTACTCATGATAAACACTAGAGGGCAGTAGAAGAGTCCCAAGACCAATGTCCACCCGTTAAATTCAGAAGAGTGAGTGGGGTTTTTGTTGTTACTGCTGTTCCTTCACAAAGTCATCTGTAATATGAATAAAGCAATAACCCAATTGTAAATCAAACTTTTATGTGTTCTGCACTCCCCACCCATGGGTCACTGATCTTTTAGAAAGATTAAATACCAACAGATAACTATCAGTTCAGTATTTTAACCAGGCCATTAAAAGAAGATACACAGAACACAAATCTTTTCTAAAACAATACTTTAATACAAATGTGGGCCAGTGCAGTGGCTCATGCTTGTAATCCAACTTTGGGAAGCTGAGACAGGCAGATCACCTGAGGTCAGGAGATCAAGAACAGCCTAGCCAACATGGTGAAACCCTGTCACTACTACTAAAAATACAAAAATTGGCCGGGCCTGGTAGTGCATGCCTCTAATCCCAGCTTAGGAGGCTGAGGCAGGGAGAATCACTTGAACCTGGGAGGCAAAGGTTGCAGTTAGCCAAAATCGCACCGATGCACACCAGCCTGGGGACAGAGCCAGACTATGTCTCAAAAAAAATAAAAATAAAAAATTTTAAAAGTGTGAAAAAAACTGATTCTCTACTAGTCCCCACCACTGTGATTGGCATCAGCTAGAATCCACTAAAGGATACAATCTAGCTTATTTGAAAACACAAGGCTGGCAAGGATTGCTTGCAGTCTGACCAGAGCTGCCAAATTCTAATAATGCAGCACATCCAGAAAAACTCACTCCTAAACTCTCTCTTTTAAGAAATCTAAATCTGATAGTAAAAGTAAAAATGTAAGCTGGATGGTAAAAATGTAACTGTGATGGTAAAAGAAATAAATATTAAATATGTATACCAATTTGTTAAAACCATTTAAATGCTCATGATATAAAACTGTTTTTAAGACAATTTATAGACTCTACTTTTTTTAAAGATTAAGTAATGCAGCCAGGCTGGGTGGCTCACACCTGTAATCCCAGCAACTTGGGAGGCCAAGGCAGGTAAATCACGTAAGGTCAGGAGTTCAAAACCAGCCTAGACAACATGGTGAAACTCCACCTCTACAAAAAAACAAAAATTAGCCGGGCATGATGGCAGGTGCCTATAATCCCAGCTACTCTAGAGGCTGAGGCGGGAGAATTGCTTGAACCTGGGAGGCAGAGGTTGCAGTGAGCCGAGATCATGCCATTGCACTCTAGCCTGGGAGACAAAGCAAGACTCCATCTCAAAAAAAAAAAAAAGGAATGCAATATAAAATTCCCCATTTTTAATAATGTAACTCAACAACGGCATTCAACTTTGATAATACTTCTAACTTCAATCTCCGTAGTTTATACTGGCTCACTGTATGAATCTTGAGAGCTGAAGAACATTTTCATAGAAAGGAAAGAGTTCTTCTAAACAATAACTCCCCCCAAACAAACATAAAATTCTAACTATCTGAAAAACTGGCCAGGTGTGGTGGCTCATGTCTGTAATCCCAAAACTTAGGGAGGCCGAGGCAGGTGGATCACTTAGGTCAGGAGTTCGAGAACAGCCTGGCCAACATGACAAGAGCAAAACTCCATCTCCCCCGCAAAAAAAAAGAAAGAAAGAAAAGAAAAGGATTCAGTGGCCCCATTTCCTCAAAAGGAAGAAAAGTCATGATTGATTGGCAGCACATATTACATAGAAAGTAGCAACGTAAGTGCCAAATATTTCCTACCTCTGACATTTGAGGGCATTTAGAGTAGTCCCCTCTGTTGATGTTGTATGGTTTCTAAGGATTCTTCTCTGATTACTCTGGAGCCATTCTGATGGATTTAACACTTTTTTTTTTTTTTTTTTGAGATGGAGTCTTGCTCTGTCACCAGGCTGGAGTGCAGTGGCGCAATCTCGGCTTACTGCAACCTCCGTCTCACGGGTTCAAGCGATTCTCCTGCCTTAGCCTCCCAAGTAGCTGGGATTACAGGCACCCACCACCACGCCCAGCTAATTTTTTTAATTTCAGTAGATATGAGGTTTCACCATGTTGGCCAGAATGGTCTTGATCTCCTGACCTCGTGATCCGCCCACCTCGGCCTCCCAAAGTGCTGGGATTACGGTCATGAGCCACTGCGCCCAATGGGATTTGACACTTTTTAATAGCTCTACAGACTGCATTTCTCTTCTGGGTTACACTTCTTTGTTACAACAAACATTTACATGATTGTGTTCTGTATACTTTTTATCTATCAAATTAATACTGGAAATCTGGTGAAGGGCCTTATTGTTTCCAGGCTATACTGTTAAGAATAAAAGCAAAGTAATATAGAGGACATTTTTCTACAAAATCATATTATCACACCTAAAAAGATAATAATGCTCTATTATCATCTAATATAATGTTCATATTCTAATTTTCCCTATTTAAAAAAAATATCTTTTATAGCTGATTTGTTCATTCTGGTATCTCATAAAGGATCATACTTCACATTTGATTGCTATGTTTAAGTCTCTTTGAATCCAGAATGGTCTCCCTTATTGCATAATTTCCCCTGAGATAAACCTGGGGTTAATTTTCTCCTTGAATGTCTCACCATCTGAGTATGTCTAATTCTTTTCACATATGTGGTCTTCCTAGTTCCTCTATCCCTTATATTTCCTGTAAACTGTGAAGATAAACCTAAGGGGCCTGAGTCTATGATACTCTGCAAACATCTTCAGAATACTTTCTAAGGCTTTAGAAGTTGACAGCACTGACTTTAAAAGATGCATATTTCCTTTCTTTGTGGTCCATATAATAACGGTGCATTTCCCAATCAATGGCATCTTAGTTCAATAAATTATCATATATCAAATTCCAATTCAAAATCTGCATTTTCCTTGATAGAGGAAGCACTGCTATTACTGATAATCACTACTGTCATTTTTTGGTTTGCTACTGGAATAAAGAAAAAAAGGAGAGAAGGAGGAATACAGGAAGCAGAAGTAGGAGCAACATTTCTTCTTACATAACTGGGCAGGTACTAAAAGGAAGAAAAGGATGAGAGACACCAGGACACATGCAGGGCAATTTCCTAAGATCAAAGTAATAGCCCAGCGAAGTGGCTCATGCCTGTAACTCCAGCACTTTAGGAGGCCAAGGCAGGTGGATCACGAGGTCAGGGATTCGAGACCAACCTGACCAACATGGTGAAACCCTGTCTCTACTAAAAATACA